GCGGCCAAAATTTGGGCCACAAAAAATTATGCCGTCAGCCTCGATTCTTTTTTCTTATATAAATTTCTATTATACAAGATACTAGCACTGTCTATGTATTAAAGGCCATCTTTTAACTAAATAATATATATAAATAGATATAAAATGACCAGACAGCCGCTGCCACTTTCCTCTGAGTGGGCGTCGCCAGATGCCTACCTTGACTCTCTGCTATCATTCGCGACAAGAACAGAAATATTCAAGAACTTCTGCGGAGGAGTTCATATACTGGATTTTCTCATAAGAGAGCCTGATCTATACCTCTCCGTCGTCCCCGAGGACTGGCGTGAGTTCTTTGCCCGCCATGAGATACTAGATATCCTGGATCTCCTCATGAGAGAAGACATCCGTCCTTTTTTAAATACACAGAGTGAAGAGGAGCACCTTACCTGGAGGGACGGCCCGGTACCTCCCAGGAGTCTGGTTGAATATATTCATAATATCAGACGACACTCTCTGCGCAGGGAGTTTACGCCCGTCAGCGAACAGCCTGATATAAACCGGCCCGTGGGCAAGAAAGGCATCCCATACCATGTTTTTATAGGCATGAAGCCGAAGAAGTGCCATGAGGTAGAGAATTTCTCGAAATACGTTGCTTCTCTTACTGAGGATGTCGATCGTATTCGAGGTGAGGAGGAAGGGATCTCTCATATCGTGGATTTTGGATCTGGTCAGAATTACCTGGGCAGGGCGCTGGTTAGCCCGCCTTATAATCGACATGTCATTGCTATTGAACGACGGCATAACGACATTGCCAGTGCGAAGAGGAAGGATATCAGGGCAAAAGTGGCGGAGAAGACTATCGTGATGAGAAATAAAAAGGAGCATAGGGCAAAGATGCGAGCTGCTGCTGTGTTGGATGATGAGACTACAATCAAGTCTGTATCTGAGAGTGGTGATGCTACATTGGGCACACCGGGGAAAAAGGGAGAAAATCCAGCAGATTTGGCAACAATACTTCTTATTGCTGATACACGAGCTGATGCTGGTTCTGGTGAAAAGGAGCTGGAGACTACAAGGTCGGGCCCTAAAGGCTCGTTGGACTATGTAGAACACGAGATCCGTGATGGTTATCTAGAACCTATCATCAAACACATCACCGGGGCTCCTGAAAATGACGTGGAACAAGATAAGGCCTCTACAAATGACTCCACGTCTACATCTGCATCACGAGTCATGGTAGTATCCCTTCATTCATGCGGAAACCTTGTACACCACGGCATCAAGTCTCTCATCTTGAACCAGTCTGTGGTTGCTATCGCGATGATTGGGTGTTGCTACAACCTGATGACCGAACGACTCGGCCCTGCAACGTACAAGTTACCTTCATTGAGACTACCAAACAGCCGCTTGCAGCAGACATCCAGTTCATGTGATCCCCATGGGTTCCCAATGTCGAGACATTTCGAGCAATATAAGCATGAAACTGGCGAAGGAATCCGGTTAAACATCACTGCTCGAATGATGGCGGTACAAGCTCCATATAACTGGGGTAACGAGGACAGTGAAGCATTCTTCACCCGCCACTTTTATCGTGCATTGTTACAGCGGGTTCTGGTCGACTATGAAGTCGTCCCTGTTCCGGGAAGAACCAGCTCTGGTGACACAGCCGGAAAACCAGAAGTCGCAGCAGACGCTGAAATACCTGGCTGCCCATTGATCGTGGGATCATTGCGGAAATCTGCATTTCTATCATTCACAGCATATGCTAGAGCTGCAGTGGCAAAGCTAGTGCATGATCCCTTGTACGGTGATGTGATTAAAGAGAGGGTTGAAGGTCTCCCTGATCACACGCTGGAGGAGTACGTGGCTCGGTATCAGCCTGCGAAAAAAAATTTGAGCGTGGTCTGGAGTCTTATGGCGTTCAGTGCTTCAGTCGTAGAGTCCATGATCGTGACTGATCGTTGGTTGTATCTTCGGGAGCAGGAGGTCGTCAAAGATGCCTGGGTTGAGCCTGTTTTTGAGTATTCACACAGCCCAAGGAACCTCGTCGTCGTTGGCGTTAAAAAGTGAGTTTCTTATCTTTCATGCTGATTTGATTTAATAGAGCATATAGAGCATCAGTTATAGCAGTATGAATACCTATCATCATTAATCTCCACATTAAAGGCCTGTCGAAGTAAATGTCGTTTCAATCAGCCGAGCTTCCCCGACCTCCCTGATCCTGACTAAAGCCATCCTGAACAGTCCATCCGGAAGCCAATGCTAATGGATAGGGACTCCATCCATGTGCAGCAGTGGATCGATTGCAAGATCCGATGTTTCGATGACATCAACAGAAGAAAAGATGAAGAAGCTGAAGAAGATGAAGGATGATCATGTGACGAAGATATTGAAGGATTTCCAAAAGGGGAAACACGAACGGCACCATCGACGCCAAAAAAAAACTGTCCTTTGTGTTTCTACCAGCGCAAGAAAGATCAGGAACCCGGGCTCTTGAGGCCAACAGTCAAATCTGTTGGCTCCGTCCTTTTCACTAGGCCATTAACGGGCTTGCAATGCACAATATCCAGTGGAGACCATGCAAACCCCCTGCTATCTCGACTGATAGCCTGATGCATTCTGGAAGAAAACCCGTCGCTTCTTGGCCTAAGAAGTGGTCGAATATTGATAAAAGGTGTGTTAATATAAATCCTGAACTAAGCGTCTCGCTGCGCCAACCTTCTCTAGCCAGGGTATTTCGGAATATATAGGCTTGAGATAAGGATACACGTTGGGACTGTGGGGGGGACCAGGGGGAGGACGCTGCTCCAGCTATTCCTCTGTACCTCGCCTCGTCGGTCCGCATGAAGAGAGGCTATCCTTTTGGTCTTATTTTATAACTATTACCTGATGGAATATCAAGCTGACCATGGTTGAGGGGATTGACTACATAGTATGGAGCAGAGGAGGTCAAAGATGCCACCAAACCTAGACAACTTACCACCACTCTGGTCAGCCAGGTTTCAAAGAGACAAGAGTTTTCCCCCATTCAAGGGAGTCTGATTCCTTTGGCGCTGTGAACCCTTGTTCCCTCGCTTTTCCTGGTCTCAGTACACAAAGAGCCTGGGTTGGGCACAAGGTGCGGGGAACCCTAGCGGGTGAGACGTATGTATCGTGGTGACATTGTCTGAGAAGACAGTTCGCATCGAAAATTAGCGAGCTGTTGGCTTCATTTTTCCTGCCTCTGCTATGATGTGATGCTTTAACGAGAAACAGACCAATAAGGCTAGGAGGAAGCAGCCCTCACACGTTGTGCAAAATGAGTTGCATGGCTTAGTGCGCCACCCAGGCTTTCTAGAATACTATGTCCAGCCTGAATATTCCTCTCTTATTGCTTTGAGGGCCCCTAAGCAATGATCGTCGTTGCCTCCGCCCAGAATATAACCGCTGATTCTAATTATAAGCATAGTTCTTTTCGTTGAACATATTACGGAGATGCAAGCAGGTCAAAGAGCTGTCAGACCAGGGAATGATCAGGGCTCCAACCACAAGGCTATTGACATCTCTCACCTCAAGTGGTTGGCTCATTTAATAATAAACCGAGTCTCACAGAATGTGCTCTTCCTCTTGATATGTTGCCATTCATGGACCTAGTTACTCTAAATTACATAACAGCATTGACATAATGAGCATGGGAAATTACGGGAAATATTCTACGAGTCGGTGCATTGCGCTGGCTTGGCAAGGCGTTTTGTTGAAAGCCAGAAAGATACTCTCGTACATGCATCCCCAGCCATGCTCTCGCAACTCATTTCCATCCACAGCACGCAAGCCCGGATATCACCCTCTACTTAGCTAGCTTCGACGCCAAGCGAGGTAGGGTATCATCGCCTTGAGGAAGACCCTAGTCTGGTGGCCCCAGGCAGATCCTCAGCCGCGGGACACCACATCGTACCATTATTGACTGTCCAACTCTCTAATTCTTTTCATTGTTAATTCTAGCCAACAGACACGCGACGCAGTTTAAGGGCTAAATCTTTCAACAATAACTAACGGAAATCTCCTCCGTATGACCAATTTTATTCCCTGTCCATCGGGAAATGTGTCCGGAGCATCGGTCGTTCCCCGGAAACGTGTACTATGTATGAAGGAACAACAGGGCACATCACTAACCCAGTTCTGGATAAGTCAGCACCTTGCGTCAAGCCAAGATCACCTTAGATCCCAGGGTTGTGTTGTGGGCATTGATTTTGTCTCTGACTAGGGCCACGCACGAAGAAAGCAACTAATTGAAACCAGTCGGTTGGTCGTATCTACGAACCCTATCTCAACTCGTTTCTTGCTGCCGTGTCACGTGGAAGAAATGATGAAAGACATGGGAGGGAGAAAAAAATCCACCAACGGTCTTTGGCGGCTGCGTGACCTTCCTTGGGCTACCCCAGGATGAGGATGTCCACACTGGTCCGCGTGAGAAGCATGGGGAGCGGCAGCGACGTCGGCCAATAATGGACGGGGAAACAATATTTCATTGTTGGAGCGATCTCAGTCGACCACCAGCCCCCTGCGTTTTCCTTCCTACTATGTACGTCCCTCGCCCAAAAGTACTGGGGGAGTTTTCGCTCTTTTAAATTCCGCCACTTCATGTTTTCGCTTCGGTTTGATGTACGCCCAGCTTGCCAGTCCGGGTTTCTCCGTATAGCACAGCTTGGCCTTGGACAGAAACAACTGACAACTTGGATATGGACAGGTTGAGGTGATTGCCCAGCAAACGCCCAGAAAAAGCACGATACTTTAACTGGGCCAGGGGCAATGTCCTATGTTAATTTGTTTGTGGAGTATTTTTTCCGATTCCTGAATCGCAGCGCTGCCACTTCAACCACAAATGTCGAATAAGCGAAGTGTTGCAAGGGGTTTCTTTGCTCAGTCCATTTGATAAGATGAATCCATATTGGAAATTCGTCCAGACTGCACCTCTTATCTTATTATACCGACCAGGGGTAGTCCCCATATTTCTCCAAAACTCTGGCGGTTATCAACTCGCCCCTTCGTATCCAATCAGACCAGGGGACACTCTGGGGAAGGAAGGGGACAAGGGGCGACCTAGGGGTCGGATACGGAGACTCCAAATGCGACATGGGTTGTCAGTATTATACGTTGTGATAAATACTCCGGAAACCAACAGGGCCTTGACTACTATATGTACACTATTATTGGAGCTACAAGAGAGGATGGAGCACGAATTGGCGCGCTGTGATTAGTTGGATAATACCTCCAAGTAATTCACCCTAGGACAAAAGCGGGAGGAGGTTTGCTTCTGCTAATATTATTACAGCATAGAAATGTGCAACAAGTTGCGTCAAGTATCCAAACCTCACCTGCGCGCCTGGAAGCCCGCGCACCACCCCCTTGAGGAAAAGCACATCTCCGCACCGCTCTCCGGACAACGCCATAATATGGAGTGCCGCGGATGTGTGAGGCAAAGTTTTTCCTCTTTACGTCCGTTGTGCCCGCCATCCAGGTCCCATTTCACGTGTCCGTCGCACCAAAGGAGCAAATGGGGGTATTAAAATAGAAATCAGGACGAGCCTAACTCAAGCTCCAAAACACGGTCCTGCTAAAATGCAATTTCCGAATAAGCATGCTCTTATATGTATATATCGGGGCGAGGAGGCTCTCGCAAAGGGCAAGTGGTGGCACAGAGTTCAGCCATTTTCTGATTGTCAAATGAGTGCTCAGGTAACGAACAAGCACCTTGTGCTTCCTGCGCTAATGTGCCACTATCTTCGGGATCTATATATGCATGTTAAAGTGGGAATGACTTCCTGACCCTTCGAAGGTTTCCCCCGACACACTCCACACGGGGCCCCCGTTGCAACCCCCAAGGCCTTACTGGATTGGAAAGACAGGGTGCTCAATGCTAGCTACCCCAGCTCCTTCTCGCCAAATCAGCGGGTTAGAACCCCCAAATCTGGTGGCGAGCAATATAATAGCGAATAATCTGGAAGGCCAAGCAACGGAAGAAGCAAAGAAAAAAACTTAAGCAAGATACCCAACTCTCACTCTGGTTCATCTCGTTCGCTGCTGCTCTTGGGGGTAGCGTGCCTCCTCCCTGTCCCTCCTCCAGGCTCAAGCAACTCAACAATCCCACACCAAAGAGCACTCAATTCTCCACGGTTACAAGCGGGTCGCCTGTCAGACTTTTGTTCCCTTGCACCATGTGGTGCCTACATATAGAGAGAGCCGTTTCCCTTTGACAGACGCTCCGGGGATTTTTTCAGTTCTGGTTTTGCCTGTGCCACTCGAATTGTCCTCAGCCAAACCTCAACTGAAGAGTGCCGGTCGATCAACGGCCAAATACCTGCGACGATGACTGCTCCCGTAGGCCTCGAGGTGGATGGCCGCGAAAGCCCCAAATACACCTCTGCCCTTGATGAGAAGGAGTTATCTACCGTTCAGGCCATTGCCGCCAATGGTGCTCACGAAAGTGACGATGAAGCCACTGGTCTCCGCAAAGAGCTCCCTACCGATGAGGAAATAGCGACATTGCGCCGTCTCCCTGACAGAATCCCCTGGATTGCCTTCAGCATCGCCTTCGTCGAATTGTGCGAACGATTCTCGTACTATGGAACAACTGCAGTTTGTATGTTACATTATTGGATATACCTCGCATCATTTGCTTGCAAAGTGAGTGGTTTTTACTGACTTTGATTTTTGATAGTCGTCAACTTCATTCAACAGCCACTTCCACATGGATCAACCACTGGTAACAGCATCGGCCCTGGTATCATCCAAAACCGTACCCCAGGAGCCCTTGGACTGGGTCAGCGAGCGTCAACCGCACTTGTTACATGTACGTACCCTATCCTACGAGGCATAACACAGCACATGGTGAATGCTAATAATGTATCTTTAGTCAACTCTTTCTGGGCTTATGTCATGCCTTTGGTTGGTGCCTACATTGCCGAAGAACATCTTGGACGTTTTAGAACTATCATGTTTTCCATTGGATGTGCGCTTGTTGGCCACACTATTCTCATCATTTCCGCCATCCCACCAGTTATCAAGCATCCAAATGGTGCCCTTCCTTGCTTCGTCATCGGCCTTATTATCATGGGCATGGGAACCGGTGGCTTCAAGTATGTCCATAGCCTGTATCACAATTGCGTGTTACCTCTCCTACTAACCAAATATTTAGATCCAACATTTCTCCCCTCATTGCTGAGCAATATACAGAAACCCAAATGTTTATCCGAACAGAAAAGAGCGGAGAACGAGTTATTGTTGACCCTGCTGCCACAGTATCTCGTATCTTCATTTTGTTCTACCTCATGATTAACATCGGCTCTCTGTGTGGTCAGATCGGCATGGTTTTCGCTGAGAAATACGTCGGATTCTATCTCTCTTTCCTTCTCCCAACTCTCATGTTCTGCCTATGCCCGTTGGTGCTCTTCCTTTGCCGCAAGAAATACGTTCGAACCAAGCCAGGTGGCTCCATTTACTACAAAGCCATTAAACTTGTTGGACTTATCACCAAAGGCAAATGGTCTTGGAACCCCGCTCAAACGTAAGTACCGGTTTATACTCGTCCCACATCTCGTTAACATACTAACCCATCTATTAAACAGTCGCCGCAATTTCAAGGACCCAGAGTTTTGGAATGCTGGCAAGCCAAGCCGCATTGCTAACAAGCCATCCTGGATGACATTCGACGATGCTTGGGTTGACGAAGTTCGTCGTGGTCTTATTGCTTGTTCCGTTTTCCTGTGGTACCCTCTTTTCTGGGTCGCCTACAACCAAGGAACCAGTAACCTTACCTCTCAAGCCAACACTCTGACTCTCAACGGCGTGCCAAACGATATTATCAACAACCTTAACCCCATTACCCTCATCGTCTGTATCCCAATCATGGACAGAATTGTCTACCCAACCCTCCGCAAAAACGGCATTAGGTTCACCCCTATCAAGCGTATCACCACCGGTTTCTTCCTTGCAGGCTGCGGAATGACTTCTTCAGCTGTCCTACAGTACTATATCTACAAGACGAACCCATGTGGCTCTAACGCAAGTTACTGCAAGACAGAACTCGGAAAGTACTCTCCCATCAGCGTCTGGGTCCAAGCTGTCGCTTATGTTCTTGGCGGTATTTCTGAAATTTTCGCATCCGTCACTTCCCTTGAATATGCATTCATGAAGGCCCCAAGAAATATGAGGTCTTTGGTTCAAGCTTTTGCTCTGTTCATGAACGCCATCTCTTCCGCTATCAACCAGGCCCTGGTAGGTCTGTCGTCGGATCCTCTCCTTATCTGGAACTATGGTGTCACCGCTTGCCTTGCATACATCGGCTGTATCGGTTTCTGGTTTAGCAACCGTAGCACCGATAAGGCTGAAGATGCGATGAACCAACTTGCTGTGGCTGACTTCCATGGCAAGGAGAATGATACGGAGAAAGCCATATAAGAGAATATGCTGTTCTCTAAATGAGCCAATTTTTTTCTTTGTTTATATAGTCATCATGCCCATACCGCTCAGGTGTGGTTTTATAGTTACTAATTTCAACGCACGATTTATGTGTTCATCTATCTATATCTCGTTGTAGGCCGGCTCCCTATGTAAGCTAAAGAAGGTTGGCTTGTTCACTTCCAACTCATTCCCCCTTCACGCGGATAACTTGATGTAGATTTAATCAGTCACAGGCCTTGAGATCTTGCGCATTTACGTAATTTAACCTCTATCGCTTCTCCCCTATCCTATGTCCTTGGATATCATATGCTTAACCGTCTCTAAATTAAACGAAAGATAAAATCCTTTGGTACAACTATTTTAAGTGATACATTTAAATATAAAACTCCTTATAACTTAGCATCAATAGGCGTTTTCAGAACGTACTATAGCGCCTCCCAACTTTCTCGGGGATTAATATCGGGCGAACACCTAACTAGTACGCATGGCATGTTTCTATTCTGCATCCCGTTGTTTCTCTTCCCTTGCTGTTTGCGTGGATTGCTAATAACTAAAGGATGTGCTGACACCAGGGGTCTCCGGCGACTTGTTTCTATCCCGATATAAACCGCCGTTTATCCGTGTGAATCCATCTATTACCATGTCACTGTACGTAACAGTTTTCCGATTACCTCCTTTAACTACCCCAGGTTTTATATCCTATAATATGCGGACGTCAGAACTAAGTTTATCTGAGTTTGCTTAATAATCACTTTATTTCTCATTCTCGTTAACAAAACATAGGTATAAAGATGAAATACGTCTATTCGTCTTCAAACAACAATCACTAGCCATTGCAAAGGCATCTTCCCCAAGGTATAATATTCCACGTAGTTAAACTCCGGTCCAATCATCCCTAACTCCAATATACAGTTCATAAATATCAAACCTAACCAAAGCGATCTAGGCAACGCGGTCTAGGAAGAGACACACCGATGTATCAAACTCTACAGAATCATGCTCTTGGTTGAGGCGGTGGCACCCAAGTCCCATCTCTTAACCAAACACCAACACCACCGTATAACCCAGCGCTCGAACCACGCAAAAATGCAAATCGGAAAAACAAATCCTGTGGAGGTGACTTGATATCATCATCGTCATCGTCATAATCATCCTTCAACGGAGCCTGTCCCATCGTAGAAAGGTTGTCGAGTTCGCTAGTGCTTAGCCCCTGACGGCCACGACGGTGCCATGTGAACATTCCCCTTTTAGTTTCATCCAGATATCCGCGCCAGCGTTCTACGTCATTGACCAGCACACTAACGCCATCGACATGTAGCTTGTCCATCAGTGCTCGGTCCCACAGCTTGAATGTAATGTTGCCGTTGCCGGGATAGTAGTGGCTCTCGTGCGGAGAGGCAAGAGAGACAGTGACGGATGAATTTGTGATATTAGGGGATGTCGCGCCCCACCAAGTGCCGACACTTGGTAGTTCCCCTAACGCAACAGGAGTCTCGATGATGGATGCAAACCCCCATCTCCCAACACCGTGGACAAATAGGCCCAGGAGAAGACCCTGATATACGATAGAAGGGCGTGTAGGTATTGCTGTTCCTGGCATGAGAAGGATGGCCAATATATAGTGATGAATACGCAGACGCAGTCCTGGGAGGGCAAGAAGGATAAATATGGAGACGGCGATGACGAGGTAAATTCTGATGAAGTGGAAGAAGAGACCTCCTTGTCGGATCTGCCATGCTTGCGTGAGGACTATCGTGATGACGATAGTCAAAACGATAGCTAATGCGAGAGGAGCACCTGGTTGGTTCTGTATGTCGTGTGGAGTGAGGCGTTGGATCGGTATCCAGCTTGCAAAGGTATAATTATTAAGCGCTCCAATGAATGCAGGGCCCAGGTACAGGATGGTCCTGGTGATCTGGTATATTGGCGGAGAGGAGAGAGGCTTAAGCAGCGGCACAGCGCAATATAGGTATAACACATATGCAATAAAGCTGGCCGGTAGAAGGCGGGAGAATAGCAAAGAGAGCAACTCAGGCAAACCAGAGACACCAGGGGGGTCCGAGACAAGCCCGACATGCATGATGAGGATGACGAAGGTGCTGAAGAAGAAAACAGCGGGAGATGTGGTAAAAATCGATAGGAGTGCAAGAGTTGTCGCGGTGATTGCAAGGAGGATCCATCGCATATCCTGTGGACAATCGAACTCTTTCCCTTCCAGCTTGACGAACTTGTACGACTTGGGAAACCTTGACGGGAATGCCGTAGAGTTAAACCCGTTCGCTTCACTGCTGTGGTACTCGTCGGAAGAGCCTACCAGCTTCACGACGCCGCATCCTCCATGGGCGCCAGACACAACGCCAGCATGGATTGCAGCCTGGCAAACATAACTATCCGCACGATATACGCCATCTCCTTCGGGTGCCCCAGGTGCAGGGCCACCGACGATAAGAGGCTGGTAGTTTAACGTTTTGTTTCCTACTGTGTATGGGTTGAGCAGTTGTGCGCTCGTACAGAACGCAGGACATCGAAATGCGAACGAGGAAGATTCAAAAGGGCGACAGTCGTAACCGTTGATACCACAGCGATGTGCACTGGTCCTATTAACCCGATTACTCGTCAGCATAGATGATAATAATAAGACTAAAGGGTATATAGTTCCCACCAGTAATTTGCGCTGCAGGCGATGGGACTCGGTATCCCATATCCCTCGATATGGCCTGACGAGACTGAATACCGCAGCGTCAGGCCCCAGGACATAAACCACGCAAAGTACAGGCCCAGCAGCAGGAATATCTTCTGTTTCTTCTTTGGAAAATAGCGCTCCAGAAAGGCGACCGGCGCCTCCTGTATGCCAGGGAACAGCGGCTCGAATCGTAACTCGTGCGGCGGATCCGGGCCCTTAAGCCACTTGATCGCTGCGCGGCCGGCCTTTCGCAACGGCAGCGGGACCCAGCCCCAGCGGAATGACTTTGAGCTCTCAGCCAGCCAGACTGGAACCACTGACGGGCCGTCGTTTGCAAGGCCAAAGGGGAGTAGGTTGTCGTTGTCTGCTCTGTCTGGGTCGTGGTCGTCTATCGTAGCGGTGGCAGGCTGTCTGGACGAGGCTGCCCCTCTCTCTTCGTCAGTTCTATGGTCGTCCGGCATGTTGAAGACGGGCACATATAGTGATTGTATCGGTAGACGGTGGTAGGTTGGCTGTTTGTAGTTTTATGTTTAGGCGCAAGCCAGAGACGCAGGGGAGATGTTCGAGCGAAGGATGAACCAGTTCCTGCGTACGCCGATGGCGCAGCGCTCAAGGTTAGAGACTTGCGACGCAAGTTAAATACTGTCCGGTGCTTCCGCGAAACACAAGAGGGCAGGCCTTCAAGAAGGGCGCAGTCGCTCCTCTTATTCATGGCGGCCTGGTGGTGAAGAGTTTCAACCTTGAGAGTTACATCCATGAGATCAGTTGACTCGCCTGTGTGATGCAAACGAGAATCTACTACAGGAGGAACCTTGACCAGAAGGTGGGATACATTATAGTATCATGGTTTATCTTGTATTTGCTTCTTAACCTCTAAGGATATCCTGCTAACCTACTGCTTTGCTCCCAGAGACGGCCTCTCCCGACAAGTAACATAGTCCCCAGCCGCCAGAGCCTCTGTCCTCGTTCTGCAGCCTAATTCAAGAGGTCCAGTCTCCGTCTGAAGGATGAAATGTTTCGGCTTCGTGTAAGCCGGCCATAGAATCGGTTTGGCGGCCTCTGAACAATGCTTGATAGTCCGAGTCGTTCTCCTTGTCGCTGCCCATTCTGACAGAAAGCCTCGATATGCTGCAATCCCACCTTTGCCTTCTTCTAGTGGAACAACAGCCTTCCAGCCCTCTAGTCTTTCAACCTGGCTCACGTCCTGTTCTTCGAAGGGAATCTCCCGGTAGTGATCATCCGTCGTAAGAGCCTCGTAAATAGTGAAGATGAGGCCATCAACATCGTCACGGCCCGACTCCTGCATCTTGCTACCGATCAATGCTGACCTGTCAAAGTCGGAGACTTTTAGAGCTTTGGTTGCAGGCTCATAAAGGATATTCCGCGGAGCGATATCCTGATGGATGATGCCGAACGTAAGGCTGAGATCGTCAACAGCAGTCGTGAGTTGCTCCATCCAGCGGAAGTAGAAAGGTTGATTGTGATCCTTGTAGTGTTCGAGCGTTCCCCCAGATATGAATTGTGATGTAAATCCAAGGACCTTACCAGAAACATCATCGACGACTACACGTTGGAACTGGACAAAGGAATCATGGCCTTTGAGTGCTTTGAGTATATATATCTCATCTCAGGTGGCATTAACTCGCTGCTGGATGATAGTGTACTTGAATGCCACTACTTGCTTGTTTCCCTGGAGAGAGTCCTGGTATTCAACCAAGTCTGTACAAACATGGAACCGGTCAATCTCGGTAAGCTCTGACCTTCGTGCCACTTCTCCTTTCTCCAAAGCCCCTGAATACTCCGGGTGCCTGACCTCTATCGTTGGGTCCTCCGGCGAGGTATCAATCGGATCACCATTGGAATCAAGCTCTAAGGAGTGCACATCGGGGCCAAGTTGATCCACATATCGTCTTACAGCTTTGATCCCATCCTCATCCTCAGGGAGAACCTATGCGGGGCCTGTGACTTGAAACCAGCGACGTAGGTTCCAGTCAATCACCTGCCAGGTGTGAGGGCCTCCGGGAAATAGGCCACCCCCTGGGACATAAAACCGGTGCCTAGGGGGAATCATTCAGATCAACGCAGTAGAGGATATCAAATAAACTAAAGTAAGACGCAGCGAGTCCCCCTTTTCATTTCATCGGGAAACAATAGAATCGAGTGACACTGGCAAAAGATGTAATAATCAAAATATAGCAGCTCCAAACCGATGTTGGCCAAAAGTCACATGACAGGGCATGCAGGTCAGAGATGAGATCAAAAATATGTATTGTAAATTGTATGCCTGAAGTATTCATTATAATAACTGCAGAGAGCAGAGTCAAGGTAGCCTAGGAAGCTATTCCACTCCGCAGACTTCTCAACCTCTTCGCCGAACTTGTGCTGCCGCCGATTCCTGCTCCCGCCCACTAGAAGCAGCAGGCCGGCTAGATTCTATCAGGTTAGGATTTGTACCAGCCATCCAGCCAGCCAGGTCAAACCCTGCGGCAGGGTTAGCAGCACTGGTCTTCTTTGCGGCACGCTGTTTCTCGAACTCTTCGCGAGTTTCGGGATCCACTACTTCCCAGTTAGATTCAGACCATAACGAGAGAAAAGATCCGGACCAGAGCCAATGGGGTTGATATATGGAATATTGGACATACTGTTTTCAATCAGGTAGGGCATTCCAACAGTAACAGCCAATGCAAAGATCGCGAGAAGAAGCATAGGATTCTTCAACAAGCTCAGAGGTGAAACTAGATTAAATATGATGGTTAGCCATATTGATCGCCATAACTTGGGGATCTCAAAGGGAGCAGGCTGATATTGCGATGGGTATACATTTTTCTCTCTGTTCATAATAATCCTTCTTCGCAAGCACCTTTGCCTCTACCACGATTACTCCAGACTCATGTCCAGTATCTGAAATGATTTTATTCGCTCCCTTATTATCCCATGGGAAACCGCGATGTGTTTCCCAGGCACCGAGGATTTTCCCTGTCTCGGGAGATACATCGATTCTATATGGCGCAAAGACGTGGCTCTGTGAGTGGATGTCCAGGAGGTACGATATCGGCGCGCTGGAATCTCCGGTTGCTGTAGATAGAGATATATCATCGAACACAAACGTCGAGAGGGAGGATAACGGCGCCTTCAGTGGTCCATTGGGTTGCCCGGCCGTTGTGAGAGTTGCAAATGTGGAGGGTGGGAGCTTTCTGGTCTCGAGAGACGAAGGAAGGACAACTTTTAGTTTCGATGAGGAAGCTGACAGGGCGCCAGAAGATAGAGCAAGGAGCGAGAGGACAAGAGAAGAATATGAGAAATGCATCGTTGCTGAGTTTACTGGCTTCGCTCTCTCGTTCTCGTCTGGCTCATCCAACTGTTTATTTATCACAAGCCGAAGTTGAACGTTTTTTTGTTACTTTTTGGGGATTCATGATGACATAATCAAAGTCTAATTTCAATTGGCATTAAAAGCTCTAAAAATAAATAAAAATATCCATCCCATCTTCTTAACGGACAAAAAGGGAGGGAATAAGAATATATCTGAGGGGTCGATATGCACTTGTGGTCCTGTTTTCGTATCTTCTGTTCTTCATTTTTTTACAACTTTGCCTTGGTGGCACTCTTTGATGAGAGGTCGGGGGTATGGGCGTATAGTTTGTCCAGGACATCACGGTACATCTTGACGGATTGTGGACGTTTAAGTTTTAGGCTGTGTATTCACATGTTAGAACATAAAGCGAAGAGACTGGAGTGAGCGAGAGCAAACTTACGTCGGAGTTAAGAGGCCGTTTTCGATAGAGAACGGCTCAACCATGAGAGCAACGTTCTTTACCCTCTCATATCCTGAAAGCTTATTCGACCTGGCAGCACGCTCCATATCCTTCAATACAGCGAGGACGACTTTCTCGTCACTGGCAGCAGCCTTGAGAGCTTCGACGTCATCCATGGTAATCTGCTTCTTTAGCACTTTACTGGCGAAAGGAGCAAAGATGTCAGGCTGGATGCCGAAGATACCAACAAGGTAAGACTGGATGCTATCACCGTGGACAAACGACTGGGCGATATATGGACAATAACTCTGGTAGACGCCCTCGAGCCGCTCTGGAGATACATATTCACCCTGGGCAAGCTTGAGCAAGTTCTTTCGGCGATCGATGATGTGGAAACGACCGAATTCGTCAATCTTGCAAATGTCTCCGGTACGGAACCAGCCATCCTCTGTCATCGCTTTAGCGGTTTCTTCGGGGTTCTTGAAATATTCCTTGAAAATGGTATTTCCTCTTAGGAGCAACTCGCCCCGGGGGTAAGGCTTATCGTCAACGGAGTATTCCATCTCGGGAAGAGACAAAAGACAGGCCTCCTGAGCAATGGAAACGGAACCGCAGTGGCCTGCAGTCAGGTCGTAGCCGGCCTGGCAGGTGGCAATAGCGTAACTCTCAGTCAAACCGTATCCCTGGACAATGTTGGCACTGAATGCGATTCGGAGGAACTGATGTAGAGAGGCATCGAGTGGCGCAGAGCCAGAGACCATGAACCTTATTCGGTCAAATCCAAGCCCGGCAGCAACCTTCTTGGCCCAGATCCTGTCGTAGATGGAATGCGTGAGAGTAGCTTCCTGAGGCTTGGCATCAACTAGATTTGCCGTCTTGGTTGCAACAACGTGTCTGGAGAGGGCGCCTTTGAAGCCGGGCTGTTCGACGGTTGCGGCACGGATGGCACCGCCGAAACGGCTGTAGAGACGGGGAACGGAGGCAAGGACGGTAGGCCTCAAGAGCTTGAAGTCATCGACAAGCTCGAGAATGTTTCCATGGAAGTAGCCTATTTGGCCGCCGGCCCAGAGGAGAGACTGTTCAATTAGGCGGCCATAGATATGGGCTAGAGGTAGGTAGGAGCATGCTATATCTCCTGGTCCCTGTGGAATAGTACTAAGCGAGGACGAGGCAGCAGCAACAGCATTTCTGTGGGTAAGGACAACCCCCTTGGGCATGCCGGTGGTCCCGGAAGTATAGTTGATAGTAACGGTATCTTCCGGGGATGGGAGGGTATAAGGACGATTAAGAGATGCTCCAAGCTCTTCGACCTCCTTGAGTGTGTAGATGGAAACACCCAGCTCCTTAGCAATGGGCTTGAGGATGTCACGCTTCGAGTGGCCCTGGGGCTCGTCAGAATCGAGATCTTCCAGACATACTATGAACTTCAAGGTAGGAAGACGAGGCTTCAGCTTGAGCAGAGTTGGAACATGAGGGAGAGAGCAGGCAACACAGGCCAGGTCAGTATTTTGAATGATATATTCGGTAGCTTCAGGCCCAAGAGTCTCGTAGAGAGAGACAGAGAAGATTGCCTGGGACATACAGGCCAGGTCTGATTCGTTAACCTCCACTTTACACCATCGAACGGGAAAAGGCATCGATACTTACCAATGAGTTGCCACTCAGGCCGATTTTGGCACCACAGGCCAATTCCATAATTCCGACCCTTGAAGCCGAGGCGCTCGTGGAGCTCGGCTAAACCAACGCCAATAGCCGCACGTCGCTTCTGGACAGTCTGGTAGTCGATCCAAACGTAGGGTCCATAGCTTTTGCTGGCAGGGATCCAAGGACGGTATCCTAAACAGGGCCGTTTTGGGTATAACAAGGCTAGATTGAAATTAGCCAAACAGCTCCTCCATAACCAAATACATTATTACTGTGTAACAAAAATGGTGAAAAAAAAAAAAACGAACCAGCAGATTCAAACATATCATGACCAGTGCGAACCTATGTCAACAATAGAAGGGGGGAAATTCCAGATTAGCCACACATTGTTCGCATTGTTCAAGCGCAGAACCAAAAAAAATTAAGCCGTATCCGGCATTTGTCGTATTCCGTGTTAGTCTGAAGGAAGCGGCATGCTCACATTTGGATCGATGGTCTTGGGAAGTTCTTTGCTGCCGACCTTCCAGTGTCTGTATACCTTGCTTCGACCTGGTAGCTCCGAGTTGGGCACTGCAACCGACTCTGGTACGCCTTTGGGAGGTTTTTGGCTATACTCCGTCGCAGCCGCTCTGAGCGGCGATTCAGACGAGAAGAGCATGTTGCAATAAAGAAGAGTCGTATATCTTCCTAGAGGATAAGGTGTCTTATAGGTATCGGCCTGATCACAGCGTCTAGCTCAATTCCAGTCGTCTCTTATCTCTGTCCTCCTGGTCTTGTACGGAGGATTCTTTGGGAATAATAGGTGAATAGCCTGTCACTGAACTGGCGAACAGCCTCCAGTTAGCTTACAGATACTGAGAATGTCAGGGGCAAACCGCTCTCTTGGTGCCACGTTGGAGCGCATCAGAGGGGAACCAGCATACCTGTAAATCTCAAACGATCGAGAGCTCCAGAGAGTGAGCGTGGCGTGAGTAAAAGAATAGAGCAAGCAGGGTAAGCAGGAGAAGAAGAGAGGAAGAGGAATAGAAAGAAGTCAAGTGTAGAGAGAGAGAAAAAGCGTTGAGGGCGAGAAGAAGAGAGAATGAGAGAGAGACAGAATATTTCCCTTTGCGGAGCGCAACTTGATGCCTTTCGTGGTGTTTGCGCCGAGAAAGTACTGGTACCTCAGCGTCCCGATGGAGACCATTTCACATGTCCCTGGACATGTACCTTTTTGCGGAGACACACAGCAAAAGGTACTTCTGCTTTTACTAGCGATGATGCATATTTGGGGTGCTCGAAGTACCGGTACTTTTGTGCTTTTATGCAAGCCTCGGCTTGGGACCAGCTGGGCCATTTTTCTGAGACTGAGCTGGAAAAGAAAAGAAGAAAAAGGCTCCAGTTTCGAAGAGACGAAGAAGGACGATGACAGGGCCTTAATTCACATGCATCATGAACTCGTTCTATTTCATTCAGACTAGCTGGTTTTGCGGTGAGATAAACCAGTTAAAGATAACAATATAATAACCCTCCTCTGGTTCCTTTTTAACAATACAACGGCTCACGCTCTAAGCAGAACGGTCAGCAAGTGCGGCCTTGCTGGCAGCGAAAGACTGCTCAAAGTCGGCGATGATGTCGTCGATGTGCTCCGTTCCGACTGAGATGCGGATAGCATCTTCGTTGACGCCGGCCGCACGACGCTCATCTTCGGTCAGCTGCTCGTGTGTCGACGACCATGGGTGGATGGCGAGTGTTTTCGAATCGCCAACACTATCGATACATTCGTTAGTCAGGAGCGGGTTCGAAACTATTGAAATGATAGTTAGTAATGACAACTTACTTGGCGAGGTTGGAAATCATCTTGAATCCGTCAACGATCCTGACTCCAGCAGCCGCACCGCCCTTGACGCCCACGGACAAGACACCACCAAATCCGTTCTTCAGGTACTTCTTCGCTGTCTCGTGGCTCTCATGGCTTTCTAGGCCGGGGTATGAGACGTATGCGACGTCCTCGTGCTTTTCCAGCCACTTGGCGAGGGCCATGGCGTTCGATGCGTGTCGCTCAGCCCGCAGACTGAGCGTCTCGAGCCCAAGCAGAAGCTGCTGCGCTAGTTAAATAACCAAAAAAGATTGAAAAAATAGCTAATATAATTAAAGGTAAATTAATAAAAAGCGATGTTGCCAAAGGTCTCCCAGAACTTAAGTCCGTGGTAGCCCTCAGACGGCTCTACCAGTTGAGGGAACCGAGCGGCGTGTTTGCCCCAGTCAAAAGTGCCGGCGTCGACGACTACACCGGCGATCGTGGTACCATGGCCACCAATCCATTTGGTAGCACTGTGCACGACAATGTCAGCTCCGTGGGAGATGGGGCGGCAGAAGTAGCCTCCCGCAGCGAAGGTGTTGTCGACCTAGAACTGTCAGCCCGGGCCCTCTCCTTGAAGAGAGTCAACTTGTCAACTTACTATCAGCGGAACACCCTTTTCGTGTGCAACTTTTGCGATGGCCTCGATGTCAGGGACGTTGTATCGCGGGTTTCCGATGGTCTCAACATAGACTGCCTTGGTCTTCTCGTCGATCAACGAAGCAATCTCTTCCGGGTTCTCTCCCTTGACGAACTTGGTCGTGATTCCCAGACGTGGTAGGAAGATCTTGAACTGGTTGTACGTGCCTCCGTAGAGGTTCGTGGTGGAAATAATGTTGTCACCAGCATGAGCGAGAGCGGAGATGGCCATGAACTGCGCCGCCATCCCAGAGGACGCAGCAACAGCGGCCACTCCGCCTTCCAGAGCAGCAATTCGCTTCTCAAAGACATCAACAGTAGGCTAGCATCCAGTATACGAATTAGCCCGCCTAGCCGTCAACGAAAAGAATTAACCATAGCTTTGACATACGTTCATCAAACGGCTGTAGATGTTGCCAAACTCCTTCAGACTGAATAGCCTAGCCGCATGTTCAGAGTTCTTGAAGGTGAAGGACTATAGTAGCCGGTCAGGCCGTCAGCCAACATCGTGTATCCAAACAAGCGCCGCATAAGTAGTAAGTAGCAGTTTCACTAACGGTACTGGCATAGACTGGAACAGCACGAGCATTGGTAGCCGGGTCCGGCTCTTGTCTTTATATACAACTTTCGTCAGCTTCCATTGCGCCGAGTTGGATGGACGGGGAACCGCAAGACCTACCCAGCATGGAGTTGGAGGGTCTCGAAACGGCGGTTATCGGAAGCCATGGCGAGGCGAAGTTCGATTCTACGTAGCAAAGGCCGAAAGAGAACGAGGTGCAGAGGGTCAGTAAATCAGAGATCAATTGAAGGCCCTCTGAGAGGGTATTTAAAGAGAGCCCCCCCCCCCCGTCGAGGCGGGGTAAAACCAGGGCCCGTAGAGGGGGTAGGGGTATGGCTTGCTTTGCTCACTTTTCTATTACTAGTCGATCAGGAAGAAGCAAGTGTACGTAAAAAAGCAACTGGTAAAAAGACAAAAGGATGACGGGGTGAAGGATGAAGATGAAGCCAGCGAGAGAGAAAAGGCGATTCTTGTACTATCCGAAGTCTCCTAGTTTATACGTATGGCGTGATTTGGTAGGTTCGTAGGTTATCAATGGAATTTTGGTTGCTTGTGGATACGCAGTTCGGCTGGTAGTTCGTAGGAGATCGAAGTCTTTATATCTCCATGTCCGGGTTATATTCACGATGGTTGCTGTTCTACGGCGTCTTCACGGTGGCTAGTTCGACGTGGGGTAAGATGATATACAAGGTGGTATAAGATGCAAAGCGATATAAGGTGGTATACATAGTGGATGTTATAAAGACATGAAGTTATGTGATGATAGAATTGAGATCTCGAAAGTTGCCCGAATAGGCGAGTTTGCAGTGTTTAATGGAGACATTGGTGATGCCGTTTTAGGCAATATTCGACGACTTCGACTTGTTCTGCTATAAAACCAACTAATCTCGCTGTTCTCGCCTTTGCTTTCGTCTCTTTCCCCCCGTCGAAGAGTATAGATGGAAGACGAACACTATTGTCATGATTCTGAACCGCAGGGGTTTCTGGATATCCCTGTCGAATGATTTTCAAATGGCCTGCTTCCCCGAGAAATGATCAGGCCTCATCACTGCATAGCCATACCTCTCTAGCAGGCTGCACATTGGCTGATTACGTACCAGATAGGCTATCAAGCGTGATCGTCAGGGCACCCATTCCCGAATGGCCTGCTTTAGGCGATTGGAGCAAAGATATACGGAGTTGTACGGGTATAGTTGTGTATAATACTCATACTGTTCTGGTCTGGCATAGCTATATACCAGGTCTATGTGAGGCTCTACGAATCCTTCCCCTTCAAAAGCCGCATCTTAACATGGATTTGGGCCGTCATTTTTCTATTAAATGTTTAATGGAAAACTTTCAGGGGGCGTGCGGTATTTAACTATTTACTTCAGCCTCTTTTCCTTTGCCTGGCTCCAATTACATGTTTTACTAACGCTGGCACTTAGGTATATAAAGCACGTCAATTTATGAGCCACCTGTGGCGTTACTTGACAGGTTCTTGGCTTCCCCGTTGGACCGCAACCAGTTAGGCTATTATTTAAAGGCTCGTAACTTTGCTACCCGACGCTAGCTCCAACCAGCTGGGTGGACAACCGAGAAGTTTCATACATCTCATCTAGTGGCCCTGTTTGGTGCATGCAGCCGGTCATTTTCGGTTTGTGGTAGAGCACATTATATAAAAAGTATGATATGCCTTTTAGATGAGGTACTGTCCGTCTACGGAGTACAAAAGGTTGTATTCTAGGGACGATATACGCTGGCAATCCACCATGCAATAGCCAACACAGGGACCACCATGCTTACTTTCCTCCCCATCTGCTGTGCTACACAATACCAGCGTGACCAATATAAAGCTGTCTCAAGCTGCATCGCGTCTTTTCCAGAGTTGAGGTGCGGGTACTTACCTTCTGGAACAGGCACGCCGAGAAAGTCGCACAATGGTCCCCAGCCCTGGTCTGCCCTGAATTCTAGCAGTCGTTCCTTTGGTACGGCGGCACGAACGCGTTCGTTATGTTCCTCGAATGATTGAACAAGGGCAGGCTGGGAGGATGGTTCGCAGGGCGGGAGACCCTTAGATAAGACGGAAGTGGTACGATTAAGAAGGGCCTGGTACGGAGCAGAAAACTCGCGGTCAAAATAGCAGAGAACGGGCCAGGATTTCCACGAAAGAATCTCGAGAATCAACTTTTGCATGGACTTGAGCCATGCGTCACTTGGCCGCGTGGTGAGGATCACCTTTGCATCGGGGTACGCGGCAACCAGCTCCTCGACAAAGAGACAGCAAGGGTCGTCTGAAACTGCCTGCCTAACTTGTTAGTTATCAGCAGAAGATCAACCTCCTTCGTTTGAAAGATGGGAAAGCAGCTTACATCATAGTTCCACAACAATTGATCGAAATCTGCTCCCTTGAACGGCTCACCGATGCCGTCGTACTTTGCCCGTACAGCCTTCAACCAGAGGTCGAAGTGCTTATTATTATTGTTTTTTAGCACCTCGTTATAGTGATACGGATTGAAGCCCAGCAGAGTCAAGGCAGCGCAAATAGCTGTCCTTCTGGGTTAGATATGAATTCTCTTTCCCTGAACTTTGTACGGTGAGATGACACACATGTGGTACCAGTACGCGGCAACCCCAGAACAAGCACCTTCATCGGCTTCTGCCGCGGGGTTACTGGAGTTGTCTTGGGATAGAATTCCATCCTTGATCGTGGACAATGACTGGTGCCTGCTCAGGTGTTCCATAAACGAAATCCGGGACCTATTGGATGAAGGCGACGGGAAACAGGAAGTGAAAACCTCCCCGCTTCTGGTGAGCCACTTTACCTGCGAGTCGCCATGACGTGGTCTAGACGCAAGCCTGCATACATATGACCATTATGAAGAATAGCTAGTAGCTTCCACTTGGCGGATTCCCTGTATTACCGGCCTGTATAGGTACTCCTCAGAAACCATATGCATAGGTTCGTCCAAAGTCAGCAAAAACAAGGATTATGGTATGTTCAGACCTTCGCTTTGAGGTATCAAGCAGCAGCAATAACGGTTTATATACTGAAAGGGGATAAACAAGGCTGAGGTTCGCACCCGTATCAGCTTCGCTTCCTGTATTACGTCCCGATCCGCGTGTGATAGATGGGATATAACTACCCTGTTCCGGAGCCGCGATTGTGATATAAACCGGAAACAAGGCCCGAATTCGCTTGAGTTCAGCGACCAGTCTTATACACTATGAGAGTAATTTTGGGCGCCCTAACTATATTGCCAGAATGGCTGAGCCCCTTTATGACCCGCCGTAAGCTTCTCTTACAGCCTCTAATACGAAGTATAATAATAGCAGGAGTGGACTTCTTACTCTTGAGATTGTTTTTTCTGACCAACGTCATTCATTTAGTTCATATTTAACTCTCCTGCTGCCCGGCTTGATTTTTATTCTCTTCGCTCTCTATTCACCGCTACGCCCTACTAGAGCATATAACTACAGCAAACAGCTCCCGCAGCCTACTTGGTTGTTAAAATTCTCTTCTTACATCGCCAACTCTCCGTCTTCACGACAGCTTCCTCACCCCTGTGAGATACCGTAGCTATGCCTAACGTCATCCTCATCCTTCGCGGTGTCCAGGCCCTCTTGGCCGCCGTCATCCTAGGACTGATCGCATACTGTATGTACAATCAACCACATCTACAAGCTCTGTAAACTTATACTAAACAACCCACCACTAGTTATCAACTGGATTCGCGAAAGAATTTTTTTCGGAAGCCTCGACAGTGCAAATTTCTTGCTCTTCGACAGCATTTGGACGCTTTTTATCGCTCTTCCATACATCGTCTTTTCACCGAAATTCTTCCCAGCATTCGCCCACCAGAATGCGCTGCTCGGCGTTGAGGGAGCCACAGTCCTTTTCTGGTTTTCCGCTTTCATCTCCCTCGCAGTTGATACCAGCAATATCGGAGATTGTACGGTGTGCAGTGTCGTAAAGGCCGCTATAGCTCTCGGTGCTTTTGAATGGTAAGTAACTCACTTCTTCTCCCATAGAAGTTTTAAAAGTTAGCTCTTGGTTCAAGATGCTAATATCTTCCTCCTACAGGGCTACATTTGTTGCTACATTCGGTCTTAACTTGATGCCCGTAATCAAGGGTCGAAACAAGGTGGTCATGGACGGCCAGCCACAGCCTGCGGTTTAGACGCGCTGAACCCCTGTCGTCTTTATCTTTTTTTTACCCGGACAGCGATGAATCTATGGAACGAACTAGGAATCGTTTGGAGTCAATACTTTGATAATGTGATACCCACTAAGTTGACAATGAGCTTATTGATTTTGTCTATGCGTGCAGACATCGTGCTAATAATGGAATATGATACTCAACGTTTTCTTTTCAACTATGCATCTCGTCTTTTACCTGTATACGTATTTTATCCTTGATCGGCTCACGCCTTTGATGCCCGTTTATGCATGATAACGAATGAAACACGCAGTCAACTTGAAAGACACATCCCCTGGAACCAGTATTAACCTTCCATTTAAAGGTAAACTTCCGGCTTATTTTAAGCTCTACGTAAACATGGTTATGTTCCATCGGAGCTGTACCTAAATATAAAGGTCTAATTCGAGATATGCTGTCAGGTTCCTCCCATATGCTAACATCTAAGAACTGATGTATCGAGGGCGAATAGCAAAAACCATAGCATTGTATTACGGACTGATCCCTGGAGCGCCAAACGGTACATATACAGGCGCAAGTATCTATATAAAAAGCCAAAGCAAGCGTCAGGAACGCCAATCATGAGCAGGGGAAAGTAAGAAATGCATGCTTAGCTGAGGAAGTCATCGAATTAAAGCTACAAGGATATGAGAGGGGAAGAAATGACGCATCACGATAGAGAGTCAGCAACAATATAATAAGAAACAGTATAAAGAAGGCTTATGTACGTTGACGGTAGGAATTAAGGTATTCTTCTGTCAGGGCAAAGAGGAACAAATGAAACATATCTTTTAGCGTGTATCGTTGTTCGAGAACGAGAGAAAATGTGCTAGGGACTATTTTTGCACAGGAGGTGTGCTAATAAGATGCATGAAAATTATGGAGTGGTTCATGACTTTGAAGCGAGGAAATCGGCAGCCTAGAGATATTGTTAGTATTCCCGTTGATATAAAAGAGGCAATATATGAAACTCACTTCATCAAGCTTGTAATCAAATTTCTCCAAGGCAGCTAGAGCCTCATCGCGTGGGTAGCCCATACCAGTTAGTCGCTGGAGGATCATATCATCTTCACCTGTATTGGAATCCAAGGCCCATCCAGCAGGCTTGCTCTGGCCGGGAGGCTGTTGGGGTGACATAGCCGAGGCACTGTCTGTTGCGGCGTGCCCTCCCAAAGGAGGAGACTTTGTGCCATCTTTGTTCCCACTGGCAGCAGCCTTGGTCGAGTCAAGGGTAGAAAATAGAGCATCCCAGTCATGGCCTGAGCTGGTATTCTTCCCTGAGCCGGCCGAAGGTGCTTCATTGGAGAAAGGAGATTTATTTGCTGAAGTGGCTGTGGCAGGGTTGGAGCTTCCACTAGCACTAGACTGGAACGAGAAGAAATCGGTGTTGTTGAAGTTATTTGTAGCCTTAGATTGTTTGGGTGGTGAATCGAACGACATATCGAAATTAGACGCGTCCCTATTGAAAGCGCTCTCGAAGTTATCGTCATCTTCAATATCATCGTCGACTTCTTGTGCTGGGGTTAGATCTAGACCTGCAAAGGCGGCTTCGAAATCAGGATTTGTTGGCTTCATATTTGTAGCTCCATGCTGGGGAACGCCTCCTACAATAGGATCTTTTGTTGTTGACTCAACCGAATGAGGTGCTTCACCCGGTGCAGTCGGGTCATGTCTTCCTGGAACCAAGCCCTTGAATTCGGGAGGGGTGGTTTGAGTTCCCGGTCCGGGTGGCGGAGATGTAGGTTTGTTAAATGATTCTATTGGAGGGAAAGAGAAATTTTCGGCCGTGTTATTTGATGCCTCTTGTGAAGGGGAAGAAGCCTTTTTCGGTGGGGATGTCGCGGTGAAATCATCATCGAACCCATCATGCTCATCATCAGAAGAATCATCGTCATCATCAAATTCCCTAATAGGAGGAAATTCGTTGCTATCCGCAGCAGTGCCATTGGACTTGTCCTTTTCACCTTCTGTCTTGCCAGCTGGTTTCTTCATGGATGCAAATGCTTCTTCAAAATCCGAGGCCTTTTGTGATGGAGATCGGGCATGCGCTACACCGCCGAAGAGTTCATCGAAACTAACTTCTTTCTTGGCTTCGGGCTGTGGTGTAGTATTTGTTGGGAAGGCCCCGGGAAGATCTGGTTGCGCATCTTCTCCAACCTTCGTGGTGATTTCCCCAGAGCTGGCCTCTTCATCGTGTGGCTCTTCGTCGAAAGGAGAAGTTTGCTTTTTTAATGTATCCGCACCTGAAATCACTGATGTGCCAAAACGACTGGCTGGTGGGGAAGGTCTGTTGGATGAAGTTGCAGATGCAATGTGCCCCTCAAGAGGAAGGTTGTTTGGAGTGATCTGCCTTGAAAGTGGTGGTGCTGGTGGCTCAGAAGGACTCCCGAATTGATTATTAAAGGCAGAAGATGGTGAGAACGAACCGCTAGCTATCCTGCCGGCTTCAGAGGTGGACCCTTCTTTCGCAACATCGGTTTGAGGTGATGCGGCCCTGAATGTGGTTTGTGGAGGTGGAGTGGATGTCGATGGCATAGTAAAGGTGGGACCAAACACATTATCAAAAACATTGCGGTTGTCATTCGCTGGTTGTTTCTGACCAGTTGCCTGGGGAGATAGAGTACCTGGCGATGACATACCTGTTCCCCGTCTAAAGAATGGGTTTCTAGCCTGGCTGCTAGTTGAGGCAGCAGGGCTTTCGAATGGTGAATTATGAGACTCGGGGGCAGTGGCATCCCGTTCTGACCCTTCGTTTGGCTGGCTGTATTGATTGAGTTCTTCCTGGAGACGATCCCGTTCGGCTTCAACAGTCGCAAGCTGCTTCTTGTTGATAGCAACCAACCCTTTTTGTTGACGAGCCTCGGATCGAGTCTTCTCCAGTTGTGGCTTCAGCTGACTGGTCTGCGCATTTGCTTGTTTGATCTTTTCTTTCAAAGAAGCATTTTCGCGTTGATCAGCTTCCAATGCTGCTGCCACTTGGTTGTACTGAGTTGCCAAATCGCGACGAGAGGCCTCGATCAGGGAGAACTCCTGCTCAAGTCTCTTACACTCCGCCCGAGAAGTTGCTAGCCGCTCCTCCAGAGCCTTGAGCGACTTGACTTCGTTTTCATACATCGTTCGAGCCTGTGCAAGCCTAGCTTCAAAGTCCTTCTTTTGTTGATCAACTTGCCCTATGTCTTGCTCGGCAGCGCCGCGCTTGGTCTGTATATTTTGCATCTCCTTCGAAAGCGTGCCCACCTGGTTTGAAAGATTTGCAAGATCGGTAGTCTCCTGGGTTAGCTTCTTGCTTTCTTCCGGGTCCGCGTCTCCAAGCAAGTCATCTGATGGGGATGCTGTAGGGTGTTGTGCTCCCTGGGCTGGGTTGCCAGCAACAATAGGTCCTAGGCTCTGACCAAAGGAGGACGATGGCACAAAGGGCTTAAATGTGGAGGACTGAAGTTGGCGTGTTGGTGAAGAGGGTGGCTGGAACTGTGAGCCAGAGCCTCCTGTAGACTGTGCCACCTGGGTAGGAGCTGTGAACACATCAAGGCCGAAGAGGTCTTCAGCAGCTGATCTAGCTCCAGTTGTCTGAGGCTGAACTGGGCGGGCGTTTAAACGTCGCATGCTAGGAGGGATCAGATTAGGGGGTAAGGTCTGTGGTAGAGGTTCTTTTGTTGTTCGCTGCTGGCGGACCAGATACATTGCAACAGCAAACTCATCCCTACTTAGCTGGCCATCAGAGTCAATGTCTGATAGATCCCAGATGTGTGCCAAAACCTCCTCTTGCAGTCTAGCATTAGTAAAGAAGCCAACTGCTTGGTCGCCATTAATATACCCAGTTCTTGCTTTGTCTACGGTTGAAAACACATTATCAAAATGCGCCTTGTCTTGTGGAGTGATTAACCAATCGTTTCCTGTGTGCACCTGGCTTAATGGACTCTGTGCACGCGGTACATGGCCTGGCCCACTGAATTGCTTCGGAATGGCAGGTACTGGCGGGACATCTGGTATGGATCGAGAGCCTGTTGAATTCCGAGCAACTCCGCGCCGCGCCGCAGCTTCATACAAGCCCGGTGGAAGTGACTGGGGTATTCCCCTTAAAGCTCCTGATTTATAGGCAGTTAAAAGATGCATAGCAATTATAAATTCCGTAGCGTCCAAAGCACCACGTTGCATTGAATCCGCTAGATTCCATATTCTGCCCAGAATTTCATTGGGTAGACGAGCTCGTTCGAATATCTGTTTTGCGGTCTCTCCTATAGATCATATAATTAGCGGCTGACCAGGATGGTAAATTCAACGACCAACGCTACATCGTACCAGAGATGAATCCATTTTGCGTATCTGATTTATTAAAAAGAGCGGAAAACTTGGCGACGTCATCAGGATTTAACGGCGGTACTCTGAGAGGGGCACTATTTGGGGGTGGGCTTGTTGCGGTCGGTAGGTCTATGTTGAGACCAGAAAAATTAGGTAGAGGGCCAGCTGTTACAGTCAAGAATGAGTCAGTAAATCGCAGCTATGTTGGGTATAGCCGGGGAAGCGCATGGCTTCCTAGGAGAACTTACGCTGCAAGGCCAATTCCTCTGTTGGATGTCGACCAGCCTGCGCATGGCCAATCAATCTCATCACTATTCCAAACCCTGAGGGCGTCAAAAGCCCGCGATTCTGTGTATCCGCAATTTGCCATATCTGTTCTCGACTCAATTTTCTTCAGGTTAGATGTTCAACACACACCAGATATAAAGTTGACGGAGCAGGGACCATACCAAGCCCAGGGTCTCAGGCGCCAAGTTTGTCTTCTCAAAGAATGAAACCGCCGTTTCCCCGGTGATAACTCCCAAATTCGTTTTATCGGCGGTTTGGAACAATTGATAGAACACTCGCTTTTCTTCGGGTGTTAGGTTTAAATTGGGATGTTGTGCAGCTAGACAGATGAAATTCCAAGCGCGTCAGTCAAGATATTGCGCAGCTCATATAATATCGTGTATAGGGGAGGCATCTGGCAAATGCGGAGTGAAGCAGAACTGAAGAAGAGCTTACAGTCAGCCATATTGTTGGTATTCCCACCCCCCGGAAGGATATCTTGAAAACTATCAGAGAGAGAAGCTCCTTGATCGAATAATTGTGTACGGTCTTGAGGACAATAGAGGGCGGCAGCGCGCAGGTCCTTATATCAGGCAGGCCAAACAATGGGATGCCCCCTGATACCAAAACGCAGTTCGACACTTGTTTGGTCGCAAAGTGGAAGAAGGGTAAACGAAAAAGAAAAGGCAAACAAATCTTTTTACTATGGCGAAGACTGAAAATGAAGGGTTGGAAGCGCCCTGAAGACTCGTGGTAAAAGATGAACGTTCGTCGCTTTCAACCTCGTCGTCGTTCGTACTTCTTCTTCTGGGGGGAAGCTCGCTCTGCGCTGCAGCCAATCAGAGGCTGCGCGGAGATCGGATAAATTAACACCGAGGTTCGGATTAGTAATTCATTACGTCATCACGAAGTTGGTGGCAAAAAGAAAGAAGAAAAAAACAAGGAAATTAAACGATTTTATTGACGATTGATTGATTAATGAATTATATTCAAATGCTTGCTGTATATTACCATTCCTAGAGGATTTTGCTGGTGGAAAAAAAGAAAAGGGATTCTACTCAAGAATGCAAAAAATAACTCCTTGCACCTCAAAGGACAAAAAGAAAAAGATGAAGACATATCCCTGAGGAAGGGCTCCCTAAATCAAGGACATGGCGTGGATTAAACAACCAACACAACAACCCAAGTTTCCCGTCAAAAAGTCAAACAGCACACATTCTTGAGCCATATTTCGAGTGGTTAGCGTCTGGAGATTAGCTGTCATGGAGGCCAGATAGCCGAGCAGGTAGAGTGTTGCATTATTGTAGTGGCCAGAGGGTGAGTTATAATTATTGTGAGTGTTGAGCGCTGCTGGATTAGTACTCCTGCTCAGGTTTTTCGTCATCGTCGCCTTGGGCGATTTCTTGGTAGTCACGCTCCAGTGCCGCTAGATTTTCACGAGATTCAGTGAACTCACCCATTTCCATACCTTCTCCGACGAACCAGTGGACAAAGGCTTGCTTGGAGTACATGAGGTCGAACTTGCGGCAGAGAGATGTCCATGCTTCTCCGATAGCAGTTGTGTTGGAAAGCATGCACCTGTAACGTGTTAGACCTATTCGACTATCCCCAATCTTCCATCTGGGTTATTTTCTTGTTGATAACTTACACTGCACGGTCAGTCTTTGCCATGTCACCGTTTGGCACATGTTGCGGAGGCTTATCGCAGATACCGATCTTGAAACCGGTAGGACACCAGTCAACAAACTGGATAGTCTGCTTGGTCCTGGCAACGGCAACGGCCGAGTGGACTTCCTTGGGGACGATGTCGCCACGGTAGAGCAGACAGGTCGCCATGTATTTGCCATTTTGCGGGTTGCATTTGACCATCTGGTTGCTTGGATCGAAACAAGCCAAGGTCATTTCACGGATAGTGTTTGTCTCGTGGGTTGCCCTCGAGTCCTGGGCGATGGGTGCGTAGGCAAACATGGGGAAGTGAACACGAGGGAATGGAACGAGATTAGTTTGGAATTCAGCCAGGTCGACGTTAAGGTGGCCACCGAAACGGACAGATGCAGTAACCGAAGAGACAACTATATGATCGTGAGCCTTTTCTTCTTATTTTTCTTGCTATAAAATAGGTGCTATCTAGAGACCTACTTACCTTGTGCAACAAGACGATTCAAGTTTTCCAAGCCCGGCCGCTCAATGGTGAGCTGTTTAGTGCAGATATCATAGATGGCTTCGTTGTCTAGGATGAAGCTGCAGTCTGATAGCTCCATCGTCGAGCTCGTGGCTAGCACTGAGTTGTACGGCTCGACCACTGAAGTTGACAGGTTGGGAGCAGGATAAACGCAGAACTCAAGCTTGCTCTTCTTTGCAAATTGCATGGCTAAACGTTCCAGCAAGAGGGTACCGAAACCCGAACCGGTACCACCGCCCAAGGAATGGAAAAGTAAGAATCCTTGCAGATCATCACAGTTCTCAGCAAGACGGTTGATACTATCCATGACTTGGTCAATTATCTCTCTTCCAATTGTATAATGCCCTCGAGCAAAATTGTTCGAAGCATCCTCCTTTCCCGTGATCATCTGACCAGGGTGAAAGAGTTGGCGATAGGTACCGGTTCGAACTTCGTCGACGACATTGGGTTCGAGATCACAGTATATCGTCCTGGGGACATATTTCCCGTTTCCTACAGAGGTCGTTAGGTCTGATAGCTCGTGAAGGGGAGGGGGGGCCGGGAAGTTGGGTGCGTACCGGTCTCGGAGAAGAAGGTATGGAATACTCTCTCATCTGGATCCTCGGCTTTGCGTTCTTCAGTCAGATAACCGTCAGGCTATAATAATGGACAAGTGGCATATTAGGCGATATGTTCCGGTAGTCAACAGAGAAATTGGGCTGTCTCAGGGGAAATGTCGAGGATAGTTTGGATATATTTAAATACCTGGATTCCGTGTTCGAGGCAATATAGCTATTAAGACCAAGGTCAGCCAGACGATCAGCGTGTTAAACAAACAACAATTCGCAATAGTATCCGCAGCGTAGTTCAACAACATACCTCCCAGGAGGAGTTCGCAATCTGGCAGCCCGCCTGGCCGACTTCAACGAGGCAGCAATGTCAGCAAAAACAGTTCTTAATCATTATTCAACACGGCAGCCCGCAGCAAAATATATATTACCGTTCAAAGAAATCACTTCTCTCATGGCGAATGGAGCTCTCTAGACACTCGACTGTGCTGTTAAAGAAGAAAACAAGAAGCGACTTCTGCCCCACGGTCTGAAGAATAATGGGAGGCTCTGCTCCAATAACGAGAGATCTTGCTGCCCAAGCTGAAACGGCCAAAACGGTGGGAATAAGTTAATACCAGCTTCGAATTATAGATCCTACTCTCTGGACAATAAATAACAAGCACTTCCTGTGAACTTGAGAGTACACGAGAGAGAAAGAATTAATTATCGTGAGTTGTCTGTATTTCTTCTCTTTGGAATATTTTCTTCCCCTTTTGTCAACAAAAAAAAAAGCGGTGGTCTTGTGTCATTGGCTCCCTTTTTTTTTTCTCTCTCAGGCGGTTCCTGGCTTGGAACATTAAGCGCGCAGGGAGAAGCGCCACCCGACGACTTTAAAACATCAAGCACAACAAAAAGGACGGTTTTTTCTATTAAATACATTGACAGCTCTTATATGACACATCGCTGCTTGTCTGTGATACGATTTACCACCGGCATGGGTGCAACGCTGGCTTTGCAGTAGACCGGCTTGTTGTAGGTAGGACAGCGCTGCCAGGAAAAGGGCTGGCGGCTGGAGTGACCATCAGGCCACCAGGACGATATACCGGGAGTCAGCGTTCCAAGTACTCAGTCATCGGAGACAGCTGACTTCTTGGGCTTGAAGCTTGCAGCTGGCCGCATTTATCTACTTCATCATTGACCTTCGAGCTTAGGGGCTGACTAAATTCTATCCTGCATGAGCGCCACCGTCGCTATTGGAGCCCTCTCTGTTTGCTGGTGAGCTGGTCAGCGATAATCCAAAGGAAGATCCCGTAGGATGTCATCAGTTGGATGTTCTAAATAGCTTCATCTACCCCGCGGTTGATTCTGTTTTCCTCTGTTCTCCTCATTCTTTTTTCTACGCGGCCGTCTTTTTTCTACGCGGCCGTGAGTCGCTAAACTGTGGTCTATAAGTTCGATATCATATACCAACCTGTGGGATATAAAACAACACATCATGGCCCGGCAGGGAGTGAATATGAGGGTCCTCCTATGGCTAGTCAGCCTCTTCGTCGGCCTTACGCTGGCTAACGTTGAGAAGACCATGTTCATATCACCCAGTCCGAACAAGGAACAATCTGCCCTCCTAAATGTCGAACTAAAGACACTTTCACCTTCTTCGCCCAGTATTCGAGAACACATTGAAGCCGAGTTTCCAACTGACACAGCTCCGACTGGGAAAAGATCGTGGTATCGCCTTGAAGGGCTGGTTCCTGGGCAACGCTACGAAGTTCGAGTGTGTTGGCTCGCGATTGTGAGTATCTCAAGCCGTCGCCGTTTGAGCATAAATTAACTGTGCGAACACTAACTTATGTCTAGCAACCAACTGCATTCTCGCTATCAACATATGAAGCATATCAAATTATCCAATCTCCAAATCTGCTGGTTTCCTTGGCTGAGTTCTCGGAGTCTCATGTCCACAGTAAGAAAAACAGTACCTCACGTGGAACCGTGGCACACCCTTCCGGAGTGACACTATTCTTGCTTATCGATGCAGCTGCCGACTACTTCACTGCTGATAAGGCACTGATGGCCGATGCCCCACCAGTCCTTGTCGACATTATCCTTGACCCATATATATTCAATGTTCTTCCTACATCCCTCGTGCCAACTTTGTGGTACGTAGTAGCCTCAGCCGTGTTTGCATTGTTCCTCTCGCGATATATTTGGCTCCAGCTTTCAGCCGCAGCAGATGTGTTGGATGTCAGTGCAGATGGTGGAAGCCAAGTTCAGGCTCCATCGGTTCTGGTACATACCAATTGGATCGGATCTGCCAGAAAGAAGGATCACCGAATTGACTTTTTCAGTTGTTATTAATTTATTGTTAGTTGGGGTTTTCGGGCGGCTTGTTTTGTTTTCTGCGGTAGTTGCATACGAGACAAGCCTATAACTCACCTCTTTCGCAAGCAGGTCTTGATACCCTCAATCCATTCTCTCAAACATATCACGAGCGCACCCTATCTTTATCGCCTTTGTATAGCCCTTTATTCTTACGCTATATTATTCTTGTTCCTACTATGCTCCTAAGATCCTAATATGACTATTTCGATAATACGATGGCATGCATTTGTGATAGAACACACGATTCTTTTACTTGGCCTATATAGCCTGGTAACTAATACGTATATACAGACAGGCCTTTACAACAAGGTTTAGTATGACATATTATCATATCGGATTTAAATAGGCTGGGTTTCGCGCTTCAGCCAGTTCAATGTCAACTCGTCCTTCTCGAAGAAAGGGCTGGTTTTCTCCCAAACCTTCGCGTGGTAGTCGTTCACCCACTTCCTTTCGGCTTCGGTGAGGAGAGAAGCATCAAGCAGTTTCTGGCAGAAGGGCACCATAGTGATGTATTCAAAACCAAGGAAAGGCTTGTCACCGAATTTATGAGTTGTCTCAACTTCCTTGCAGATTACAAGGTCTAGAAAATATCGTTAGCTGATTAGATGGTGGCAGAGATGGTGTACATCTAACTTACTCTCAAGACGAATACCAAAGTTGCCGTCTTCATAATATCCAGGCTCTAGTCGACTGTTAGTATGCTGTCAAGTAAAGTAGTATGTGAAGCAAGCGCACCGTTGGAAAGGACATTTTTGGCGGACAGTGGGACTTCAGCGTACTGAGCACGGCTTCCAATCCCCATGGGCCCTTCGTGGACGTTCTGAAGGTCTTGTTAATACAATTACAAAGAAGGAAGATAGGGATACTCGTACCAGGAACGATCCGACACCGTGTCCGGTGCCGTGGAGGTAATCCAGACCCTCCCTCCACAAATGCTGTCGTGCGAAGGAATCAATGGCATACCCAGTGGTTCCCTTGGGGAAGATGGCATTGTCTATGCTGATGTGTCCCTTGAGGACGAGTGCATAGGCCTTCTTCTGGAATTCAGTGGGTTCGCCAAAGTGAAGGGTTCTAGTGGTATCGGTGGTTCCGTCCTTGTATTGACCACCAGAGTCACACAGGTACATGGCCTTCGGGTCTATGACAGAGCAAGTTGACTTCTCGGGCTTGTAGTGAATTATAGCACCGTTGGCCCCGGTGGACGAAATAGTGTCGAAGGAGTTTCCAACGAAGAGGTCATACTTCTTGCGGATTTCATAGAGCTTGTCAGCTCCATCTACTTCATCCAGCTTGGCGCCTTCCTTGATCAAGGCGTTCTCTAGCCAGGCGAAGTACTCGATCAAAGCAGCGCCGTCACGGATATGGCACTTCCTGAAACCTTCCAGCTCAACGTCATTCTTGATGGCCTTTGCATCAGTGATGGGACTTCGGACTTCATCAACGTTTTGCTCGCCTCCGAGTGCAAGGCTCAGAGACCAGGAAGCTTTGTTGGATAACAGGAACTTGCCAGAGGCGGCACCGTCACTGGCTGATGCCTTTGATTCAGCGAGAACTTTGGAGGCCTGGAAGATAGCGTCGTATGGCTTGAGAACAACCTTGCCTTCGAGTTGCTTCCTGGCCTCAGGAGACAGCCTGCTGTCGTCTACATAGATCTCTGCCGCTGAGGGAGTCACAATGGCATATGAGAAAAAGACGGGGTTGTAAGGAATACTACATCAGTCAGTACAATTCTGTTTTAAACGAAGATAGGCAGATCATTGGGAGCCATACTCGCTTCCACGAAGGTTGAAGAGCCATGCAATCTCATCCAGGGTGGCTATGAGCTATTGTTAGTATGTAGTAGCTCCAGCGAGGGTGTGGATGGTCCCCATACATATCACCATAGCAGATCTCTTCTTTGTAGCCAATTCCTTTCGTAAGGCTTCCACCTTCTCCTCGAACGGCTTCCCTGCAAGCTCGACTGGCTGGACGGTGATTGTTGTTACAGGCCGTGCTGGACGTTCATCACCCCAGACAATATCAATCAGGTTCTGGTCAATTCCAACCAGGGAGCCTCCAGTGGCCTTCAATGTCTGAGATAGCTTTCTTGCATCCGCTATAGCAAGTTATTAGCGAGTGACTTTTTAGTTAAAAGGGGAAATGTCATCGGCCACATACCTGCTGTGATGAGGGACGGGTCGACACCAACAACTTTACCGTTCTCAGCCTGCTCAGCAGTCCTGCGCCGTGTCAACAACCATGCTAAGAAGAAACGTTACAAACAGCGAATATATACCATTCTTCCCAAGTTGGAACGCCCTCGACGCCTCGCTTCAGCAGTTTCCAGTTGGCATCGAGCTGCTTTGCGGCCTGACTGAAGTATCTACCATCTGTCGACAGAGCAGCTTTACTCATGGAGACGATGGCACATCCTGCGGAACCAGTGAAACCGGATATGAAAGCTGCAACAATACATATGAGCGTCTGCTGGTTTTTTATTACGGGTAGCAGTCTATGGAGGGACCGATCTAACCTCGACGGCCGTCACATGGAGCAATGTACTCTGACTGATGGCTATCTTCCGACGGCACAACTTTAAGGCGAGAAGAAGAATGACAATGAGCATTAAGCCTGTTATTATCAAGGGACGATGGTGTATCTGAATTTGCATACTATATACATCGACTTTGTTTTGCTTCATCAGCTCTCGCAGCTTTGCGAGGCGCTGGGTGGTGTCAACTGGTGGCGGAGGCATGTCGAGAGCAGTGCGGAGTATCTGAGAGGTAGAAAACGGCCGACTGGACTGTCCTGTGGGAGATTGGAAGTAGAGGAATCGTGGTTTGAAGAGAAACCGGAGATGGGAGCGGAAGAGGGTCATTTATCGGGGTGGACGAGGGGTTCTTTATAGGGCGAGGGGCTCGTTTCCGGGGGATCAACGGCAACTGCAAGGGCACTGCGGAGAAGATTGCTGTCACTTGTCCTTGTAACTTGTTGGTTTATGCTCTTGGGTGGCGGCTAGTTGTATATACAGGGGGCGGGTAGTTCGAACGGAAGAGACAGGCCAGGCCGTAAAAGAGGCTTCAGAAATCTGCTAGAGTCAGTAGTATATGTCACTGCGGCCTAGTAAGTCTCTATTTTTATCTTCTTCTTCCTCCTCTTCTTTTTCTTCCTCTTCGTCTTCTTCTGTTTGTTGATGTTTTGAAGTTTTTGCTAGAGATAAAGTGACCACGTGATCTTCTCAGCGCTTCGACTTTTTTTTCCTCTTTTGGGAATTCTTCGACTTCATCTTTTGATGTTAGAAGACGTATATTCTTTTGATGGCCGATTCCATATCCTGAGCCTTGATATCAGATCTCCATAGGCTGGTCTCTGGTCTCTTTCTCGGTGCCATCACTAGCCATAGTTACATCCTTCCAGCCGGGTGAAGCAATGCCTGGCCCCTCCTTTGATCAAGTAAGAGCGAACAAATGTTATTTATCAAGCCAGTTTTCTCCCACAGCAAGGCAGCCATCTATTCAATATGAGAATTTACTTATGTATCAGACTACTAGCACTCTTATTCCAAAGCCATGCCATGCCTGGACAAAGGAATGGCCGCTAATCTATTGCTGAGACTACTGAACCACTATTCCCCGGACACCTGGTAAGCCAGCTATCGCCTGGTCAACCCTTGCTTGTTGTGTCGCACTCTCTCTACCAATTGAGGTGGGCAGACATCTATACTATTATTATTACTACTATATTTGATTCCATTTGCTCCTTCTCCCCTTGCTAGCTGAGAGACAGAGCAACCTTTCACTGTTGCTGTCTCTTTCTCTACATTCATTATTCCTGTCTCTAACAGAGGGACACCTGTTGTCACTGCTTTTGATAACAAATCAAGAACATCTTCTACGAAATCATTTATTTCTCTCTCTCGGTCAAAATTTTCTACTTCTCTAGTTAGAGAGCCAAGCAAGGCTAGAGAAAACCCCTCCGGGCCTTGGTGGAGGTGGCATCCAAGATGGACAGACAAGATGGCTCTGCTGAACAGCAGCCAGATATTGATATGCTGATTATGGAGGCTAGACAAGTATGTCTGACTATCTTTTGCTGTTATATCCGCAGTCAGGTCCTCTCAGGGTTGGCTAACTTGTCTCCTGCAGCTTGCAAAGGACTTGACCACTCCTGGTCTTGCCAGTCAGGCTGGTGTAATCCAAGAGCGTCTGCTCGAACTGCAAAAGTCGAGTGCCGGATGGATGATAGCCGATGGCTTTCTAGGGTGCGAAGACCCAAAGCTCAGGTTCTACGGACCTCTTACGCTTACAATGAAAATTAACCAAGAATGGTACGGCTCTACAAAACCCTAGTTTTCCCCATTATCTTCGCTCTAATTTGATTTTTCCCCGGCTCACTTTGAATAGGGAGATTTTAATGACCGAGCAACGATTGGATTTGCTTGCACAGTTGATGAACTGTTTTGTAGTTCTTGTCGATTCCACAGAGCAACCTCTAGTGATGAGGAAGTTCTTTTCTACCCTAACCACGTTCTTTTTCAAGCCTGGGTCGCCTTGGACGTATAGTGTACGACATGTCGCCGTGACTTTGGCCAACGGGAAATACCTTCCCGAGGACAAGTCAGAAGAACCCACTTTGGCACTGCACGCACTTTCAGCTCTCAGCCACGAACGTCTAGTCGCGTTACTATCATTTTGTACTGCATTAGCCGAAGAGTCTACACGATACCTCACAGAAGGGTGAGTATGTCACTAATATTGAGTGGGGGTAGAAATCATACTAACATATATCTAGCACCGAGTCTGGCAGCCGGCTGCAGGTAAACACTAACGATGTCTTTGACTTAATTGACTATGGCTTTGGACGAGCTCTAAATAGTGCCAGCGGCGCGGTAAATCAAAGTATGTCTGAGCATTCTTTGGCCGTAGCTATGGAATCCATTCAGACATTACATGTATGTATCACTACCCCGGCGGAACGCCTTGCTCTATTTGTTTTATTAAACAAACCTACAGGCGTGGCTACAGCATTCCATAATGGCAAAATCAACCCTCCGGGCCTTGCTGCTAAGGTAAAGAAACCCTTAGACTCCGCTGCGCATTTCTTTGCCGTTGAAACCCTTAAGCCACTACCAGGTGATGGACTGTTTGCGAAACATTGCAAATCAGTATAAACTGTCGATACGACCACCTCATGCTATCCTAGAATTTATCGTCGGG